GTGCTCTTAGCGATTTACTTTTCCATGTTATGCTTTAGTTCTTTTGCTTGTTTGAAGAGGGGCCTGGGGAATGGTGCAGATGCAGAGCGTGTTGTGTCTTCTGAGCACCCTCCCTGAGCACATTGCGGCCCCGCCTAGCGCCGTGTGCAAGCACTTGCACGACCCCTTAGCTTAGGATTTCATCACGATGGGGTATTCTGGTGATGGTCTGAGGAGAAGGACTGGAGAGGACTGAAGAGGAAGTTAGAGACAGTGGACAGGGTGTGCCTGGCTGCTCTGCTTAGTTGCCCGGAGAAGGACCCGGATGTGCTTAGAACGAAGAAGCCATTCCCCGCGGTGCTTAGAAATGAGCTGTCATGTGGGACTGTATGTAAGAGCTGTGTGTAGGTACGTGTGACAGGAAAGGTCATCATGCCCGCATATCTCAAAGGAGGGGTGGCCAAGATGGGGAGGGCTGGCTGTTTACGTGGGCAAGTTTCGCATGAAGGGAATCTTACTCTTTTTTTTTTTTACACTGTATCTTGTTTGTGCAGAAGCAATGCAGGAATGTGTCCAGATACTGGACGTAGTGTTAGAGTTAGTCTCCTGGTCGAGGACGGGGCTTTCCCACTCTTACACTAGAGACAAGTTTTTTTTTAAAAAAAGAATAACTACTTTTTTGTGTGAAGTGATAGAGACTTGTTATAAAATTTCTAACACTATGTAATGGTACAAAGAAGGAAGTAAACGTATGTATACGTGCTTAAAATTTCAGGACCCAGGAGTAATTCTCATGAATGTATTCCCAGCTGGCTGGTGAATGTTAACTCAAGCAAAGGAATCACACCATATGTGCTATTTTTAAAATAAGAAGCATCCGAGTCTTATTTTTAGATATAAAAATCTTTCACTACCAGTTTTTGTTTCTGAAAGATCTTCCTAAAATGTAGGGAAAATCATGAAAACATTTGAGGCACTGATACCCCAGTTTCAGGATCACATTTCTCTGCTGAACCGTTTATAAAATCAGCTCTGTGCAAACACCCTTCCCACGTCTTGCTGTCCTGTGAGCCTCTCACAGACAGAGGGCACCGTAAACTGTGAGGAACACAAGGCAAACAGATCGCAGAGCTAAAACGACAAGTCTTGTGAAAGACTTGGGATTTAGTGCAGCTGATGAAAGTGCCGGGTGGACCCCCAGGTAAAGCCATTACCGACTGGAGATCTGGGAGAATTAAGCCAGGTGATGATTTGACAAGGGCGATGGCCGAGAAGGTGCTTCAAAAGACCAGGTTTACCAGGGGGGCGGATTAAGAGGAGCTCTTGAGAACACATGGAAGAATTTAAAATTGTTTGTGAAAAGAGGCTGTGTTTCAAGTCGAAGTCGAAGTGAGTGAGTGTCACACTCTGGCTTTCGATCTAGTCCTACTTATTCGTGTAACCACAGTCGTATCCTGTGACCTCTCGACTTGGTTTCTGGTCGTGTGTCTGGTGTAGCCTGTAATCACACCCGCAGTTCTCTACTCGGTTCGTGCTGTGGAGACAAAGGCCAGCTAGACGAGAGCACACGGGCCATCCATCGGAGCTTGCTAGAGCCGGGGAGTCAGCCACCGGCACTCGTGTTCAGTGGAGATTCCAACGGCAGGGCCTGGGGAGGCTTCACAATGGAAAAGGGGGGCAGGTGTGCCTGATGGAAGCTGTAGGGGTGGGTGTACCTGGCTTTCCCTGAGTCTTGAAGTAGGGGTAGGATGTGTAGAGGCTGCAGGTGCCGTCCTTTGGGGCCAGTTGCTGCTGTTGTGGTCGCAGCTCTGTTGTCATGTATGGTCTGGCCACCGTCCATTTGTGTATTCCTTCCCTCAGTGTTTCCGTGCTGTGTCAGTCATCTGTTATTAGTGGTTTCAAACAATAGACTTCACTTGGCTTATGAGGGGGCCAGCAGGTTGGCTGGGCTGAGCTGAGCTGACATCATTTACCTTCCGAATGGGCAGTTCACAGAAGCAGCCAAGAGGAGATACCATGCACATGGGACTGGGGCTGTTGACTAACCGAGGCTGACCGGGCAGCACAGCTGTTCTGCATAAGGGTCTCACTCTCCAGCCGGCTGGCCCAGGCGCGTTCCTCGTGGTCATGGCAAGTGCTCGGTGGGGGCTAAGCCCCCTGTGCAAGCCTGTTCCAAGGCCTTGCTTGCATGTTTGTTGTCATGCTGTTAGTCAGAGCAAGTCACGTGGATGAACTCAGAATGGGAGGCCCTGCAAGATTGCCCGGGTGAACATATGGGTCCAGGGAGAGGTGACGAGCTGCAGTGTCTCTGCCTGGGACTCTGAGTTAGCTCCACCCCTCAACCCTGTGCTTGGCCACATGGTTCCCTTTGTTCAGACAAGTGAGATGTTGGGTGTAAGAAAACAGAGGAGTTGATGGTTGTTCAGATTCTCAGATATGAAATGCATCACAGTGGCTTTATAAATGAGACCTTCGTCCACGAACCCGGAATGTGTTCATTCATAGATCAGGTGTTTAAAATGAGACCATCACACTGCTCTTATGCAGTTCATGTGTATTTTTTTTTACAGCATAAATACTTTAGAAGTGTTTTTGCAAAAGACTTTGTGTCCTATGTGTCATTGGTGCAGTGTTCTCACCATTGCTCGTCCCTTCCCTCCCGTCACGGAGCCTCCGTTCCTTTCTCCTTGACCAGCTTCCTTTCTCAGTCAGGAGCCTTTGGGTAGCAAATGTCTTGCATGTTGGTTATACTTTCATTCACATTAAGTCCTATTATAGCAACTGTCACTATCTCTTTATTTCCCTTAAAGCGAGTCATCAAGCAGAGGGCCTGGGGCTCGATGAAGGGCAGCAGGTGTGTGTCTTGGGAAGGTGTCAGCACATCTGTGTACACAGCAAGGCACGGGGCTGGCGAAAGGGTCCAGCTGCCTTGGCCATGACAGCATCCTATTGTGGTCACCCTGAAATGCTTTATTACCCTCGAAATACTTACTCAACAGGCAGTAAATGTCATGAAGAACTCTTACCAAGTTTAACCTTCTTTAACAGAAAGGGTTAGTGTGACGCAAGTACAAACACAAAGAGAAAGTGAGAAATAAAAGGGAAGACGTGAAAATCAGGGCTTTCTTTTTCTAAAATTGTTCTGTTTTAATCCTCTCAGTGCTTTGGTGTGGGAGTATTTTCATCTGCATTTAAAATTTTTTCTCCTTTTTTTTTAATTTAACTTTTTTCAATTACAGTCTACATTCAATATTACTTTATATTAGTTTCAGGTATACAGCATAGTTTCCATGTGTATTTTAATTGATGTCCATTTCTGTATTGTTCTTAGCCTGATTTAGGAGAGTGGGTGGCCATGTCTTTAAATCCATGTTGATTCATTTACTCAACTAATATTTATTAAATGCCCACTTTATGAAAGTACCACTCCGGGACCTACAGAGACAACCGAGTTAAATTAGTTAAGAGCCCTGCTCTCGGGAGACTACAGTTTAGGAGGAAATGTGCACTTGAACTGTTGTTGGGTGACAACGGGACGCATGGCCAGTGCAGGGAGACACATGGTCAGCACTGAACTGTGACAACACTGAGCTGCTGGCAGGGGCATAGTCCCTGGAAAGGAGCATGGGCCTGGGCAGAGCACTCCCAAAGGCGATGGAGCAGGGTTAGGGAAGGAGGTGGGGAGGAGGGGTTGGCCCAGGTGCTCTGCATGGTGGGGCAGTGGTTCAGGTCCCCAGGAAGAAGGCAAAGGGGCCTCGGAGCATCAGAGATCAGGCGTGTGGAGGGGTGAGGACATTCCTACGTCGACTCAGATGACCAAAACTCATTAAGAATAGTTTCAATGTGGCCCTGGCCAGTGTTGCTCAGTTGGTTGAGCATCACCCAGTGCAGGTCACAGGTTTGATGCTTGGTCAGGGCACATGCCCAGGTTGCAAGCCTTATCCCCTGTAGGGGCGTGCAGGGGGCAGCAGATGGATGTTTCTCTCTCACGTTGATGTTTCTGTCTCTCCCTCCTTTCCTCTCTCTCTAAAAATCAGTAAAAAAAATCTAAAAAAAATAGTTTCCTTGTGAAAAGGGTTTTAGATTCCTGATTGAAATTTTTCTTTTTTTCTTCTGTAGGGATTTCTATAACCTTTAAACAAGATGTTGATAGTCGTGAGCATAAATATCACTGAGCAAGTCCAGTGGAGGACACTGAGCTTTGGCTCAAGTACTGAGGATTCCTTTGCTGTCACCACTGGCGTTTGGGTTAGCAGGTGCTCTTAGATGTTTGGTCACCTGCCTCACTGCTGAGCAGACAGGGAAGGGCCTCAGCTCTCATTCAGCAGTGTGCTCTTTTCCCATTTGGTTTGGCGGTTACCAGTTCCTATCCCAGTCACACAAAGTGTGTTTCCAAATTACTCTGGGTGATTGTAGGGGAGAGATGGGTTAGTGAAAGTTTGGTTACTTAAATTTTGTATTTACCAGTTTGTAGTTTCTAGCAGGACACCGGAATCCAAAAATACATTTTTCAAATAAATCCAGAACACACTTCTCACAGAATTGAAAATAACTCTTGCTTGTTTCCTACCCAGCACATGGCTCGGCACCCCATCCATACCTAGTGAATTTTGCCGCACTCATAATTTTCCATGTTGGGATGCCCATGTCCTTTAAACCACTCAGGAGTAGGTAACATAGGGGAACTCTTGGACTCAGGAAGGAGATTGAAATAGGAGATCAATGCGCCAGTTCTTAAGCCATTGTCATCACTCGTGTGTTTGTTAGAATAAATGTACTCCCAGCGCAATGACGCTTGGGTTTGAGAAGTAGAGCCTGGGTTCCAGTCCAGGCTCTGTCACTTGCTAGACGTGTGTGCTCCAGGGTGAGTTATTTAACTTCCCTGTGCCTTAGTTTCCTTGTCTGGAAAATGGGAATAAT